AATTTGATTTGACTAATAAACAAACATGCCATACATAGTTTGATCATTTTTCAAAGAACATATCATATTTTATGAATTTATAAACTGTAGTCTGATCGAAAAGACGAATGTGCCTTCCCGTGAACAGACCTGAAGATGATTATAGCACCAATATGGAGGCATTAGGTAGTCTCTAGGTCAACATATAATTCGCACCGAGTTGGTGGAATTTAGTTAGGTTTATCATGAATTGACAACTACTTAACAAAGCATATTGCCCAAGTGTAACCCGTTGATAATTACATGACTCGAAATTTTTATTATTTTAGGACTCGTTTGGAAAGACTTTTAAAATTACTGAAAGCGTTTTTTGTAAAAATATTTTTGAAACTAATACTTAACAAAAATCCAAGTGCATCTTGAAAAAACTTTTACGTGCTTCCTGCACACTAGTGTTTTACATCCCAAAATCAATTTTACCGAAAACGATTTATGTCATTCTAAAAGCACTTCCAAACAAACTCTTAATTAATTAGTTAATGGTCATTTATGCAAAATTCACCTAGCATAAAACGAATTTTATTTCATTATTTTGTTTTCATTTTCTTATTAATCTTTGCGTAGGTTTCATTACATGGCAATATCAGACAAAAGGCAAAGATACATGCCACTTCCAGATGATCGGTTGCAAGGAAGAGGCCAAGCCTTGGCTTACCCAGAGGCAGTCTTGCTTGTCAATCCTGTGGAGCCACAGTTCAAAGGAGAAGTATTAATTTCTTCTAACAATCATTTTTCCTATTGCCACTTAAAAAACCAACTTCCCTACAAGTCGAACAATTAGAACAACAAAAGAAAACAATTTTTTTCTACTTGCTATTTGAGTCTCATTCTCTTACCCATTTGTTGATTAAGAATTTATAGTCACTCACTCTTAAATTTAAGATTAATGGTCAAAATTAAAACATTAAAACACGTCATATTATTCTCCACCTTTGATATTCTACTAAAATGGATAGCCATGCATGTAACAGTTACTTATGCAAAAAATCTACTGTCAGCAAGGTATATACTTGTACGGGACGCTATATTAGTCGATTTTGATTGTGTTATAGCATACATGTCAAGTTGTTAGACAATAAAGCATTTTCAATCACATAATTAACAATTCACGGAGTTTCTATATCTGTTGGATTGATTGTCTTTCTCTGTGTGATTTAGGGATTTGATTTGATCTATTTTTACAGGTAGATGATAAGTATCAATACTCAATTGAGAATAAGGACAATAGGGTTCATGGATGGATATCCACTGAACCACCCGTGGGATTCTGGCAGATTACTCCTAGTCAAGAGTTCAAATCTGGTGGGCCCTTCAAACAATGCCTTACTTCCCATGTTGGGCCAACCACCCTAGCTGTAAGTACGCTTCTTTTTCTTCATTTTTATTTTAAAGCAAACTTGACTCCTGCCTTTTAAATTCATTCATACATATTCTTCAACTATGGCTACATTGTATAATTTTTTCCATATATTATAACATAAATGATGTTATAAATAGTCAAAATGAGAGAACGTTTGTTAGAGATTGAAGTGAAATGAGGGTGTTGTATATTGTGTTACGGTCATACAACACATGTCGCTTTACTATATGAACCATCTAGAATTAATAGTACAACACTACTTCTTGACCCTTGGTTTATAAAAAGTGGAAAAAATTCCTACAGAAGAAAAAGGTTACAACTTTATTTGGATCATTGAGATAGTGTTAAATGCAGTTTATGTTGATTCATTAAAACCTTAATAAGAAAACCTCAAACGAAAAAAATCTTAGTCGAAGAAATAAAAGTACAACATGCATATGTCCTGGATGATCTCCCTAGTATCTCTCCTTGATTTTCGAATTCTTATTACATATTTAACATATTAGACTATCTAATTAATTGACAAAGAAACACTTTAGAAGAAAGAAGAAAACATTCCTCACAACTCTATTGGCAATACTGATCATTTGTTTGTCACGGAATCATCAGATATTTCATAGCACCCATTACTCCGGAGCGGAGTTGATAATAGAATTTAAGCCCAGTGAGCCATGGAAGAAAGTTCTTGGCCCCATTTTTATCTATCTTAATTCTTTGGTGACTGAAGATGACCCACTTCAGCAGCTATGGGAGGACGCTACGCAGCAGGTTAATATCAAAAGAAAAAGCAAATTAAGTATATACAGTTTTTTTTTGTATTTCTAAAAAACATTAATGGATTGAACTGTGAATTTGCAACATTTTTCAGATGGAAACTGAGGTTCAAAGCTGGCCATACGACTTCCCAAGTTCAGAAGACTTTCTATCATCGGATCAACGCGGTACTGTTACCGGCAGATTACTAGTACGCGACGGGTAAATGACTGCTGCATATTAACCTTACTAATCACCATTTAATTTTTCAGGGTGTCTGTCTCTAATTAAGGAAAATTTAACTTAACATCAATATGTTTGTGTAGGTATATCAGTACTGAAGACATATTCGGAAATGGTACACTGGTAGGGTTGGCAGCTCCAGGAGATGCTGGATCATGGCAACTAGATTGCAAGGTATTTATTTAATTCTCAAATTTCCATACGATACTAACACCTTGATATATAGGTTGATATTCAGAGTCCCCTCATTCCAAAATATTATAATATTTTGTCTCTGTATGATATAGCAATCTCAGCAATGATATTTTTCTTACAGGGTTACCAATTTTGGACCAAAGCAAACGATAAAGGCTTCTTCTCTATAAGTGGAATACGTCCAGGGATCTATAATGTTTATGCATGGGTTCCTGGTTTTATTGGTGACTATCGACATGATGCTGAAGTAACTATAACTCCAGGTCTTGTTTTACTCTTGCTTTATTTCTATTCAATAATATGTTCTTGTTTTTGCTTTTTGTTTTTGGTATGCAAAATATATAGATACGTCTAATATTATTTTCTACACATTTTCTGTTTTCACTTAATTAGGTTAACTCTAGTAGTTATATATGTATCATATACGTACAAAGAAAAATATATTGTCATTTGTGAGTTGGGTTGAGAACGTCGTGAGGCAGTTTGATTAGTATCTACCGTTTGTGTATTGATCAATGATCATAGTTTTATAAATTCACTATGTATGGAATCTAAAATGTAAATAAAGCTGCAGGTTGTAATGTTGATGTGGGTACACTTGTATATGAACCTCCAAGAAGTGGCCCAACTTTCTGGGAAATAGGCATCCCAGACCGAACTGCAGCAGAGTTTTATATTCCTGATCCTAATCCAAACTACATTAACAAACTCTACGTCAATCACACTGACAGGTTTGCATCTTCTTGCAAATAATTTTCTTCTCTAACCTAAAATTTCTAGTTTTAATCACAAGCTAGCTATATATATTATGAAATTCAGATTTCTCTGTGGTACTTGACAGGTTTAGGCAATATGGATTATGGGAAAGATATGCAGAACTGTATCCTTACAATGACTTGGTTTACACAGTGGGTGTTAACGATTATCAAAAAGATTTTTACTTCGCTCAGGTTACTAGGTAATCAATTTACTCACAAATTATGTATATGTCGCGTCATTAGGGCATGTTATGTTATCAGAAAGTTTAATATGTTCTTTTAGTTTTTTTTTTTAACAAGAAGCGATAGAAAAATGTAATCTTCCTCTTTTTAAAATCGAGATTTTCATTTGCTAATTTCTAATATTCAGCTAATTAAGATTTTATGTTTTTCCTGCAGGAAGACAGGTAATAACACATACCAAGGATCAACATGGCAGATTAGGTTCACACTTGACACTGTGGGCAAGAACAATACCTACACATTACGAATAGCACTGGCAACAGCACATGTTTCTGAATTACAAGTATTACTTGCTCACTCTTACAACTTCATAACCATTAACAGAAATGCCATTATATTTTTACTGAGAAAATTTTGTTTGATTATCTCGTCGTCAAGGTTCGGATCAACGACCTAGAAGCGAGCAATCCTCTATTTTCTACAGGACAAATTGGAAACGACAATACGATAGCAAGGCATGGAATTCATGGGCTGTATGGGTTGTACAGTGTCGGCATTCCAGGTGCTCAGCTGCTGGAAGGGAACAATACCATTTTTCTAACTCGAGCATTGAGTATAAGTCCTTTCCAAGGAATTATGTACGACTATATTCGTTTAGAAGGTCCCGCTTCTTCCAACAACGAGAGTCTGGGATCCAGTTCTTGGGAATATAAATAAAAAAATATAAATCATTCATTTTCTTGGAACCCTAATATAAATCAAAGTGTCCCTAAAATGTTGGGGACTTGGAGGCTTTTTTCCTGTGGTTCTTTTTCGTGTGCCTTGGTTTTAGTGAGAGGCGACATTTTTCTTGGTTGAAACAGACAAAACAATGTCGTCTTCCAGATTGGTGCAGAAGATTTGAAGTCTCCAGATTGAAGGGTTCGAATAAGAAAGGCATCCAGATCCAGCTCTCTGGAGGATCCAATCTCTGAGTCTCTCTGCTGTCTTATTTTGCTGCAGACCTGGTTAAAGGATCATTAGGCTAGAGCTGACACATCAACCCATTAATACTTACCAATCTCACTCTTATATTATGATGATACCAAATTAAATGTGTCTTAACAAATACTCATTAACTCAATGAATTGATTTGTCACCGCCACATGAGGCCATGTACTATAATAACTACTTGCCATTCACTAGAAGTACAGAGAAGATTCACACAAAACATTGAGAAAAAGTAAAATTTTAGCGTTTGATAACCACTTTGTCTCTTGCTTGGTAACTATTTTTAGTTTTTCATGTAACAAGAAGTGAAAAGAATAGTTATCAAACAGTTTCTTAGTTTGTAACGCAGTCGTGATAAGTTAGCTCGTTAAAATCATTCAAACAAACTTGAAAAAATTGGAGATGGAAACTGAACATGGTTGGAACATTGTCAAAATATTTCAAGTCTCGGCGTGTGCAATTAACCAAAGGGGGAAGAATTTCTGGCATGTGCAATTAACATTAAACCATTTCTCTTCACTTCTGTCGTATTTTTCAACTACATTATTTGGAAATAATAGATAAAACGCTAAAACAAGAAAAGAAAGGAAACTCATTTACAAAAGAAAACCTATACAACTAAAACCACAGTTCCGATGTCAGCCTACTGCAACAAGAAAAACTACAAGCTATGCTATTTGTACAAGATACTTAGCAATCAAAAAAGGGCCGGCGGGCCGGGAGGAGGCCATAAGTACAGGATATCGGGAACTCTCTCTGTTCATATCTTTACAAACCGAATGTCATTTTGACCAAACGGAGTTCCACAGGCAGGACACTTACGATGACGGATCTCTAGATTTTTCTGAACACAGTAATTGCAAAATAGATGATAGCACTTCACAATTACAACCTGCCAATCAAATAATTAAAACCAACATCCATCAGTTCATCGGAAAATTTAGGAAATGATGACAAATTTGTATATCAAACACTGGTTAGACAACGGAATAGGCGGCAAATATTTTCCTTACCTCCTTTGGCCTATCAGTACAAACACTGCACTGCAAAATATTCTTGCAGAATTTAATTTCAGTTTGGAGTTTCTGTATTGCAGCCTCTCCAGTTTCAGAACTCATCTCAGCAACCACTGCTGTTCAATTCCCTAAGTTCTTCCTCAAGGTTCTTCCTCGTGCTTCTGCACAAGAATCCAACTTGTTAGAGATACATTTATGACCCAGTATTACAACTAATAGCTGCAACCTGCATAAAGAATTTCCAAACTTGCAAAATCTGATCGAGCGCTCATGAATTCCTGACAAACTCACCTGAGGCGTGTAATTCTAGTGTACATCTACAATAAGTGAAACCGGAAATGGGATCTTACATGCCAAAACTGTATCCACATAAAGTTGTACTAGCTTCCTAGCTTGTATATACGATTGGCTATAGAATAAGAAATTCCATGAAATCCATTGTAATCAAAACAAACAAAACATTACCTTTCATTGTCTAATTCCAATTGGACATCATCAATATCCTTTTGAATGTGCGTATGTTCCTTCTCAGAAGAAGCAAAGGCAGATTTCAACCACTGCAACTCCTTCTCAGAATCAGCCAGTTCCCACTTGGCAGTTTCTACGTCGACTGCAAGGTGCCTATCTTCCTCAGTAGTTTTTATGGCATCTGTCAGGAGAGCCTTCATCTGCAGGATTAAAATACTCAGCTTGATAAAGGTCAACAGATGAAAACAAATTATTTGCATGGGAGTCACCATACCTGCTCTTCACCATAGGAAACTCTCATGTTTAGAGATTCTAATGATGTGTTTACTTGTTGAAGTTGTTTCACCAATGCCTGCTTATCAGAGAGTACATAGCTCTGTGCTTGCTTTGTCTTCACACTCTCCGAAACGAGCTGCACCACCAAGGACAATGAGCTGCCATTCCACCGCACCAATAAACCTAGTAATAATGTGGATGAAAATAAAGCAACAAAAATATTAATAGAGACCTTGATATTGTAGTCATCCCTCTCAGTCACCTGCTGCAACAGATGCTGGTTTTGCGTCTGCATATCTTCATATGCCTGACCAATGGTCTGCAGGAACACAATTAAGTTTTTCAAAATATATGAGTAGGTGAAACAGAAAAGTGAGACCAACATTTCGTGTCAATTATTGAGGAACAAAACCTGCAGATATGAACTACGAGATAAGTATAAATACGGCACCTCAATTTCAGATATATAAGCCTCTGCCTCCTTGTCTTTAATTCCAATAGCCTCAGTAAGCTCCATAACATCCCTGCAGATAAGGTGAAGCATAGCATTACTATGCTTTCAAGCATATTTGCACACACGGGTTTTATTTTAGTGAAAGAAAACAAACTGATTATCTAACAGCTGAGAAACAGAATAGTAATGTATTAATCAAAAGAAACAAATATTACTAAGTGAAAATGACACTAATATAAATATTAATCAAAAGAAACAAATATTACGTTTCCATAACGTTTGTTGGTAACAGGGGGAAAGAATGACACTAATATAAATATAGAATAATAACATATTCCTACCACTATTGTGTCATCTACTACCAGCCTGTTTGGTTTTTTACTAAAAAATGCGACATGCTTCTAAATTTCTAATAAAAGCTCTTCTTGCAAAAGTGCTTATGAGCAAAAGTGCTTCCAACAGATGAGGTCCCATACAGGCCCTAACTTTCAAAACCAAAAGCACCCAAGTTTGCCTTGTTTGACATCTCAAGTTTGACATCTCAACATTCCTATGCTACATATATCGGTTATCAAAAGCCCATCTAACTTACACAGGCAACAAATTACTGGTCCTTTAGATTAATTAACCTACAGACAAATGGTTAGTAATGTTTTCCAAAATATGCATGTCTGGTGAAAACACTGCATCTAGATAATGAATAACATACAGCTACCCTTCTATATGTAAAGGACACGATTACGTTGAAGAGCAAAGAAAAGACACAAAGATTGCCCAACCCAAGCCAACAAAAAACAAGAAAGCTCAGGAAAATAAAAATAATAAAAAGAAATACGACCAGTATGCTACCATATTCAAAACTCAAATGGAACCAAGAAAACTAACCGCTCTGATGCATCAAGTTTGGCACTGAATTCAGTTATTTCAGCTTCAGTAGCAGAAAGCCTTTGCTGACAAGCAGCCTCTGCTTCATTGGCTGCTTTCACCCTCAATTCTAGACTATGTTCATCCAATGCATTCTTGAACATTTCAGCTTGAGAGTAAGCTCTGCGCTCTGATTCTTTGACTTCCATCAAGTCTCTGAAATTTAAAATCAAATCTTAAATGTACTGACAGAAAATATCCTAGATCCATTTATATGGGATAGAGAACGCGAGAAGCACATAAGGAACACAAAGATGTTCATAATCTCAATTAGATAACTGAAAGCCAAAATAGTTCCTAATAGAACTGCCACACGATTTAGTCGAATCCACAAATCATATAATGATGAAATTACTGCATTCTATGTCTACCCCAAAAGAAAACAATTCAAACCCTCCAAAATGTATGAGAACAAGAAAAACAAATAAACATACATATATAAGCTTATACTTTTATACAAAATCCCTACATTGCCCCCACATAGCAGCAGTCAGGAAACAAATTTACCTGTTTTCATAGCTTTCCTGTGCATACATGTCTAAGAAGATCTGCAGTTCCAGTTTTTCTTTCTGCAACTTCTCAATCTGCAGTAAGTACATCTTCATCAATTACTGACATGAGCCCAGTTATAGTACATTCCATGTGTCTTCGAACTAAAATGTTATTAAATGGTTACCAATATCTACATATTTTCTTTTCTAACTATTTTCTTGTTAGGCCATAAGTACATACATATTTTTTTAATACATTTATTACCTTTGGCCTTTTAAATAAGTAATTCCATGGTAGAAACCAAAAAAAGAGTAATTTCTAAAACAAATTGGACAAAACTACCCTCAAGGATATAGACAAATAATTCCGCCACAGCATTATTGCCTTGAAGATCAAACTGAAGCATTACGTTGAAACTTCCAAAAACACTCATGAAGCTTTAAAATAAACAAAAATTCTTAACCGAAAAAAATATTTACAAAACTTTATTTGACTGAGAAACACAGTTTACAGGATAATTTATAAGGCTCGTACAGTCAAAAGTGAATCTTAAAATCACAAATTGGATAGAATTAAAATCAAACATCAGGCACAGATATACAAAGGACCTACATGTAGAAGAGTTGACATAAACCAAAACATAGAAAGGTATAAATCAAAGGCATTGATAAAGCTTAAAAAAGAAAATCCTAGATTTAAATGGTCAAAAAATCGAAAAACATGGATCCAATAGAAGTGAAGGCAACGGTAATCAAGACTAATAGAGAATCTCACCAATGCCTTAAGAGACTTTATCTCTATCACCTGTTCGCCACACTTGTCCACAAGGCTCTTTTGCTCATTTGTCTTTGAAAAACAAAAAATTCGAGAAATTCAGAGAATATTCCACAATTAAATACTAATCAACAGTAACAACTAAAAAGTAGAAGTCATAAAACTATTAGAAACCCAATCAGTTACCATTAATATGAAATCTTTTACTCTAAGATCAGAAAGAAGTTCTCCCAAAAAACCAACTTGCAGAAAGAAAATAAAAAAACTGGATTACATTGTATGTTTATGCATACAGTATACATGTGTGTGTGTGTGTGTTTGTGTAAGTTGATTCTTGCAACACAATCATAAAGATCATTGTATCCCTTTCTTTCCAAATTGCACGAGTACCCTTGATCTGTATTCATCACCTCCAAAAAATAAATGGAAAAAAGAGCAGTACAACGGGTATGAGTATGACTGCATAAGAGAGTTAACTGGGAATGGAAGTAGACCTTTGTACTTAATGAAGCTTTTAATGATTGGGCTTTGTCACGTAAAGAAAGTGTTTCATGAGCTGTTTCCTTCCACCGCTTCAACTGAGTTTCCACCATTCCCATTTCTTTAGACAACGATGAGGCCATCACACGGAACTCTGCTATAATGTCCTTTCGTCCTGCAGAAAAGAGCATTTTAAGTGCTACAAGCTTGGGTAAATTCACAGTAACTATCAACAAATATCAAACTTATCACTTTTACCTGAATCCTGGACAGCTTCTTCCATGTTTATCTCAAAGCCATTTTTTTCAATTACACACTTCTGCAGCTGAAGCTCTAGTTCTTCAATCCTAGAATCAGAATTGTCAATGACATTCCTCACTGCATCTACTGACTCTAATTTGAAATTTAGTTCCTTTTCCCTTCTCACAACAAGAGCCCTGTCAGCCTGAAATTAAACTTTTAAAATACAAAAAATATAGGGCAAGCATTCCAAGCATCTGCAAATAAACCAAGCAATTTAACCTGCAAAGAATCAATCATTGCTTTGTATTGGTCCAATTCTGCATTCCAATTTTGGAGTTGATCATTTAGCATAGTGTACAGTCTCGATGAATGTACATATTTGTCATCCTCCACTTCATCCTGGGACAAACATACAGTTTTTTTTTTTATCAAAGAAGTAAACAGACAATAAAATCTTTGAAAAAAATGAATAACAATCAAACTTGAATTTAAAATTAGAAACCTGAAATTCTTGCAATTGTTTTGACAGCACTAAATTTTCTTCATGTGCCTCTTGATACTCAGAAAGGCGGTCAGCTTCTAGTATCTGCAATACATGCTCAAACAAATCAAGATGAATGTGCGTGAGAGAGAGAGAGAGAGAGAGAAGAGAAAGGAAGCCGGTGGGATGGAGGTTTGGAAACACATCTATACCTTTGTTTCCTCAATTGAATTTCTAAGTTCTCGCAAGCTGATTGTCCTTTCTGTTGATTTTTCAGGTGACAGGGTTCCATTAAGTGCACTAGAAGTATGGTTCTGCACCCCAGATGCAACATCCTTTTGCATTTTCAGATTCACTAGTTTCCTTCTCTTCAACTCTAGGTCAGCCATTTTGTCATCCAGCTCACCTGTCACCCGTAACAAAAAATTTACGCATTCAACAGACACTCCAAAGGCAGCGTGGCAAAACTTGGTAAATTTTGATACTTGCTCTGTCACAAATTAAACATAGTTCCTAAAATTTATACGTATCAAATATGATGATGTTTTGCCCAAAAAAAAATAATAATAAATGACGACGTATCTCTACATATGCTGCCATGAGCTTGACTTCAAGTGACATGTGCATAAAAAAACAAAGGTTGGCCGTAATAACAATCTCAGGAACCTGTAATGCGCCTAATTTCAGACTGATCTCTTGAATGGCTGCTGAGGTAAGTCCGAATTATGCCAGCATACTCTTTATGCTTCATGTGAAGAATATCAATCGCTTCACGTAGATTTTTAACCTCCCTCTCCATCATATCATCAATTTTAGAAAACTGGATGACAGCATCTGAGAATTGCAAGAAAGCAAAGACAGTCTATGTTCAATACATATTTCCTAGTGCACTTACTCCTTCAAAACATGTTAGAAAATGTAACTGTGATCCTATGAAATTGGTTTGTACAACTACAAATATAAAGTTGAACCTCTGACCTTCTGAAGATATCTTTCCATCCAAAGTGTGGGATATGTTCTTTGTTTTTTCCCTATGAGCATAAATTGGCTGTTCTAAGAGTTCTAACAAGTCCATAGTAGACGTATGCCGCAAAGCCAGAGTTTCTTCAACATATTTAACAATTTCATCATTGCCATTAGCTTCTAAAGAATCTTGTTGTAAGAGTCTAAAAAGAAACATCTCTTCTGCAGAACATGATGGAATTGAACCTACAAAGAACTTCAGGTTAATCTGATTTACATGATGAGACCCAAAAAAAAAAAAAAAAAAAAAAAAACTAAAACTTGGACTTAGTAGCATAAATTTGGATCTGGTCGAAAATACCACGAGAATAATTAGCACCATCCAAAACTTCTAAAGCATTTTGGGCTCCTCCAGTACATAGTCCAAGCAGAATTAGATCATCAACCAACTAAATAGCAAAATAATGAAATCTCTGTCAGCAAGAAGTGCATGTAATCCTGGTGTACATAATACAGACTATAAAAAGGAAGGAAACCAACCAAACATTCAAAATAACCTGATTCCATAGTTTATTCACTGTGATTAAGAAATCATCATAAGAACCTTGCTTATCCTTCAGTTCCTGAATTTTCGCTTCAAGATCTTGCAAGTCAAGCTTCTGTTTGTCTACCAGCTGATTAAGTTGCTGGTTCTGTATCTGGAGAAGTGATGCATCGACCTGGACGGACATACAGACGCAAAATACACATACAAATATTTTCAATCTGCTTTCTATTTCAAATCAAAATTAATGTGTACTCGAGACACATCGAACCATAAACGGCTGCATAAAAGAAACAGGAATGGCTGCATAAAAGAAGTTAACCGCATAACCGTGCTGCTGTTACCCCAAATTACAACATTATTAAACAGAACCCTTTTATCCTAATCCCAAAATTGCAATTCGATTCCCCTTTTCGTACACTTCCTCCACAACCCAACAGAGAAGAGCAGAAATTGTAACATTCTCAAAAGCAAAAGCAAATCCAAATCAGAAATTAAACGCACCCAATGAATCCCCTCACCCTTCGATCACATACCTTTGATCTCAAACCCAAAAATTCAATAGAAAAGCAAACAAGCAGACAGTAAAGACTAAAGAGAGAGAGAGAGAGAGGGATTACGCTGTGGTTATTGGGCGGAGAGGTGGAGGAGCTACGGGCCATGGTGGGGGAAAGGGAGTTCAAATGAGGCCTCTTCTTCTCTGGCTCGTCAGAGTCCGAGTTTTCCATTGACTGTCAATTATGGAGCTGCTTACGGAATCCACCACACCATTACAACTCTCTCTCAGAGCTTCAGTTCAGAGCTTTTCTGTCTCAAACCCTAGAAAAAATTAGACTTCCGCTGTTCCGCAGAGTGCTTGGAGAGGGAGAGAGATTACTTGGTAATATAAACTCCCACAGCATCTCCAATAATATTAGCTAAATTTTTGGTATGGTAGTTAGCAAAACGATCCAAATGTTAATTTTGCTAATCACCACTTCCGATAATAGTTATTGTTTTTTGAGTTCAAATACAATATTCGTTTATAAGAATTTGATATTTGTACGGTACACAGAGGACGTGCAAAATAAAGGGTCTCGATACAAATTTTGCCTGAAATTTTAACTCGGTTGAAGGAAAAAAAAATATCTCGCACCTTAGTTATAAAGTTAAACTATTCTCCATAAAGAGATCTCTCGTGATATAAGGGGGTCTTCAAATCCCACTCTTCTTTGCTCACTTGAAATTCCCAAATGTGTCGATCGATGAGTCACTAGTTATTTTAACTTAGGTTAAAATTTAACTTACTTTTGTCATTCGGTACTACGGTCTAGTGATATTCCTCTTCACTTGTAAGTGAGAGGTTTTTAGGTCCGATTCTCGCCAAAGGCGAATTTGAATCATATTATTACTAACCCAACCCCTCCCGTGTAAATACTATCATTTGTTAAAAAAATATATATATTTAACTTACTTTTTAACTTATAAATACTAGTCATTTAGATAGCTGGTTAAAGCAAGTGGCCATCTACTACAATGAGGGGGAGTGCTGCCCTTGCACCATGACGTAGGTTAGAATTTCTAATCTAGTATCTAATCTAATAAATTTATTTTTTGACAAAAAAAAAAAAAATAGCTGATTAAAGATTGATTTTTCTATTTAAGGGAGTGTGCTATTCACATCACACCCTTTTTTTTACTTCATATATACCCTTTTAATTTCCCGTCAACAAATTAAATGAATTAAAAATATCAAATGATAAAAATTAATAAAGAATGTATGAAAAGTAAAAAATAATGCTATCGACACACCTAGCACACCCTTTTTTTTTAATTAAAAAGCCAAAAACCTAATTTATCTAGGCTCTAAAACCTCAAAAAAAAAAAAAAAACCAAACGTAAAACCTCAATTTGAACAGCAGCCTCCTCTCTTCCTCTCGCAGGCAACGACACAAGTTTCTCTCTTCCTTCTCCTTTTCTTCTGTTTCATCTTCTCTCTCATCAAGCTTTACGTCTTGAACGACCTTTAGGGTTTTGAAATCTGAAGCTTCACAAGCATGGAAGACGCTTCAAATTCAAACGCAATCCCCGACGAAAGAGTAAAGCAGTGAGTTCAATTGCAATTATGCTAATTGGGTTTCGATATTCGAATTCTGTATGATATTTACTTCCTGTTGCTTTCGTTTTCCAGGGAAGCTCCCCAGCTTGCTGCTTTGTTGAGAGAAATGAAGGAAGGATTAGATACAGTGACGGCAAAAGTCCAAGCTTTAACTGCAAAGGTAAAAGAGTTCCCTCTTCTGGGGTCGTTTTAGTTTCGCTATCGCTTCGTTTGTTTCGGTCAAAAAATCTTGTTTCGAAATTGTTCTGCCAGTTTGTAGATTGTAGGAAAACTGTTTCTAGATTGATAGTTTACTTCCTTGAGGTTTAATAATAATGAGGGATAAAAACCGTTCGACTATAAAGCTATGTCTTCTCGTGAAATATTCCAATTTTTGCAGCAATCTTTTAATAATTGGAGATTATAGGAATCCCATTGGCATGTTAGTATAACAAGCATGATTTGCATCAAAAGGCACATGTTTCATTTGTTTTCTTCTCCATGTCAAATGTATCAGGTGAAAGCAAATAATTATCCGACAGCAGATGGGATAAGCTATCTTGAAGCCAAGCATTTGCTGCTTCTAAATTATTGCCAGTCACTTGTCTATTACTTACTTCGTAAGGCTAAAGGGTTTTCAATAAATGGGCATCCCGTTGTTCGTAGCCTTGTGGAGATAAGGTTGTTTCTGGAAAAGGTCTGGGCCTCTGGTGATCCTTTTTTTTCTTTTTCTTTGTCGTTCTAGTAACTGTGTATTCAGTATCAATCAATTCTCACCTTTTTCTTTTGCAACAGATTCGACCCATTGACAAGAAGCTCCAATACCAAGTTGAGAAGCTCACGAAGGTTACTTCAAGCACAACTGAAGATGTAGGGCCACGTGGAAAGGAACCACAATCCAATGTGCCTCAGCAAACAGATGATTTGTTAAGATACCGCCCTAACCCTGAAATGCTTGTTAGCAAAACAGATGTGAATTCTAAGGTGAAATGCGCATCAGTACAATGTTTGAATTCCTCTTTTGTCACCTGCCAAACAATATTTGAGGTTTCATCTTCCATTTTGTATATTGTAGGATCGTAATGATGTGTATCGACCCCCCAAATTTGCCCCGACTTCAATGGAGGAAGATAAGTTGTCAAAGCAGGACAAAAATGCATTGAGAAGAGATAAGAATACTCTACGACAAGCTAAGCAGAGTGCTTTTGTGAGGGAACTGGTGGATGATTTGGAGGGGAGGCCTGAAGAGGTATGTTGTGGCCTGTTTTTGTAGGGGTAACAGGCATTATGGCTGGATTTACTGTTCTTGTAACTGCTTTTTGTTGATATTTACAGATTGTAGAAAGTGTTGGAGCTGAAAGTATAGAACTAGCCCGATACAGGGCAAAGAGGGATGAACGTGAACGACAAGAAGAGGAACTTTTTACGCGTGCTCCTATTACAAAGAAGGAGAAACAGAGAGAGAAACACTTAAAGAAGTCAAGAAATGGGTATGTACACTTAAGAATTTATTTTATGATTTTCTTTTTCAATTATTCCAAATTTATTTTTCTGTAAGATTTGTTGATGGATGACTGTTCTGAACTTGTTTCTCTCAGATTGCTTGGTTTGACGGACAATTTCTATGATGAAATCAAGGGTTTACCCTTGGACGATGAGAATGGTGAGCAGGTAGCAAGCTTCAGCAGTGGCAGGGGTGTAATGGGGAGGCATAAGAAGCGCAAGGTATGTCATGTAAAGTATAATGTATGATATCTTGAAAAAGGAGCAAGTTTACTTTATGAAATATGTGCTCCTCTATACTCTGAGCCAACTGCATTCTTGTTCTGTTTCACTTGGGTCTTTTTCTAACGTGCAACGACTGCTCTTGATGTATGATTCTGTGATAACTGCCTTATATTCCCTTGACGTTGTTGCTTTGTACTAAATATGTGGGTATAAATTTAGGACATGCATGGCCATGTTATAGAAGCCTATTGGAAAACTGGAAAGCATGTCCCGTTCTCATGGGCATGCTTGTAGACTTCGTATGCAAACCATTTAGGGATAAATGTGTCTTTATATTGAATACTTGAGCCTCTGTATAATCTGGAAAAGGGCTGTTTCAGTATCTGAATTAAGAGACTACTGATTACTGATTGTACCATGTTAATTAGAATGTTGGTGGTGGGGCTATAGCCATGCTATTGCATTTCTTACCTAATCATAACTCATCTCGGAATGATTGCATCTGTTTTTCTCAGAATGATTGCATCTGTTTTTCTCCTTTATGTTTGTGTACAGTCAGAATCTTGAAGTTGTACAAAACGACACGTGCATATGAATCTATATCAAGCGTACAAAGTTATAAGTTTTCTTGGCATTTCATGTAATATCATGATATATCCACCCAGTCAGTGCATGTTAATTAGTGTAAAACTGTCCAACTGTCAAGTTAAGAGATGTTGACATTTCCTAATCAAGACTGGTTGAGATTTGTTACAAGAGTACAAGAGTGTACCGTAAATCCTGAACTTTTCATGTCTGAAAACTTCCCATTGTTTTTCTCTAGCAAGTGGCAGGTATATTTCTTTTTTGGACGAAGCAGCTGGAATATACTGCCATACAAGTGTTCCAAATTATCCAGCTGGCTACTAGGAATTTGTCGTGTGCATTAGCATCTAGTATCCAATGTGTTTGTTTTACATCCCTACATGCGTTTGTTTTTCTATGGTTTCATCGGGCATTTTTTGTTTTTCTATTGTTTCATCGGGCATTTTTTGTTTATCATAATATCGTGTAAAGATTTATTGTCCAAGCGTTGTATATGGTGAAGGCATTGACACTTTCTAACCGCTTGTGCAGATGCGGCATTGATAGACAAAGATACGCCAAGCCTGACAACTCCCAACGGTTTCTTTTCCGGTTTAAGGTCCAATTGCTCCAGTAGCATGAAATAGCTTTCTTCAAACCTCAAGTTGTTTTTCTTTTGGCGGCAGTGGGCAGTGCGCGCTGATTAGAAGGTTGGAGGGAGCCAACAAGTAGGCAACAAATTTTGCTGTTTGGACTTGATTAGAATTGCTTGTTCAATTCTTTTTCTTCTAACCCTCCACCAAAGGACACCTAACTATGATATTTACTTGATTTCTCTCGGCTCAATCGTATATGCAGTTACCATTGAAACTCCATAATTGGTGGTTAAGGGTTAATCAAAGCTTTAATCTCACCACATCCCCACAAGTTTTACGTTCGATTCTGGTTCAACTTTACCCGTTTGAATGAGTTAAAGTCTTGAGCGTCTGCGGTTAAACTCGGGCAGGGTGAGGACGGAAAGAAACGAGTTGTATTAGAAACCAAAGATATAGACGAGGACATCAATCACATAAGTGACCAATGCGCATCGGAATATATGCCTGAGGCATCGGAAATCTTCACTACTTGCAAGCGTGGCGTGAAAGAGAAGGAATGAACCGCAGAGGAAATCTTTACTACATTCATCATCCCTCTGTCCTCCCCTTCGAACCCCATCTTCATAATTTAAACCCCCATCTGGGCCTTGAAAATTGGCCCAAAAAAGCCCGTTTAACTCCCAACCCGACCTGAAATCCAAACACATTTCGGTATTCTCAAATTTTGGAATTCCAAAACTTTCGGTTTGAAATCCGGACAGAAATTTCCAACCGATAATTGCGGTTCGGGCTTTGGGATTGGGTTTCCAAGGAATTGGATCCACTATGGGCCACACATTTGTGTGGAAAAGAAATCGCAGTCGTTAAAGGGAACTTTCATATTCAATTTGTGTAATTCAAATTTATGGATCTCTGAGCTCAGATACTAAGATCCGAAGTAGATACAATTTCAGTTTTTAGTTCGGGGCCCAAACCGAAACCATCCCTAGAGATGGTTATGTTCTATAGCAAAAACTACTAGGCCCACCCACCAAATTTATCGTTTTTCCTCGTGAGGGAAAAAAAAGCCTAATGAGCGAGCTAAATAATAACGGTCAATTATTTCAAATTTCAAATTTGTGTAGCAGTAAAAGTAAGGAGACGGAGATTTCAAACCCTCAAACGGTCGATTAATTTCAGATTTCAAATTTGTGAAGCAGTGAAAGGAAGCATACTGAAATCTCTCTCTTATGGCAGAGGCACAGCCCACCGATTCCCACGCCGAATTCCCTGGTTCTTGGTCTTGCAACGTTCTTGGCCTCGAAACACACCCCAAACCGATCGACAGTGGCCATGTCGCTGACGACGAAGACTCGACCCTCTCCGCGCTCTGTGTGCCAGGTTCGAGATTGGTCCGAACTGGGTTTGTTCACTCCACTTTCTCAGGTCTGTACCCATCGCAGCTCGCTCATTTCTTGGAAACTAATCAAACAAATTGACCACAATTTGTACAATTAGGGTTTGATAATTTTGCATTTGGTTGGTCTTTGTTTCTTGGTGTATAATTCCACACTGATTTGTCTCCTTAATTAGATAGCATTGTGCTATTTGTGAATGCCGGAGGGGAGGCTGTAACGGAAAATATAAATCCCGGGATTCGAGTTGAGCCTGACGGGTTTTTTCAAGGAGGCGATGTTCTAAGAACTAACGAGACCATTGACGGCAGTGATGTGCCATCCGTTTATCAATCTGCAAGGTTTGGGGATTTTTCGTACCGTTTTGAGAACCTATCCCCCGGAGATTACTTCGTGGATCTTCACTTTGCGGAAATTGTATACACGAATGGTCCGAAAGGAATGAGAGTGTTTGATGTCTTCATGCAGGAAGAGAAGGCAAGTAAATCTAATTAAACTAGTTTGCTAACATATTTGTTAGGTACATGAATTTTGATTCGTGCATATTTCGGTTACTAGTAATTTCTGAAAGTGGTCTGTTTTTCGGTTTGTGATAACAGGTTCTATCAGGAATTGATATCTATTCTATCGTTGGAGCTAATAAGGCACTACAGTTAGTAGATGTTGCAGTTTCGGTGGGGGAGGATGGGGCAATTTTCATAAGGTTTGATGGAGTTAATGGAAGTCCAATTGTTGGGGGAATTTGTATAAAGCGGGAAGCTACGTTACCTGGTATATTCATATTTCTACTTTTAGTTGGCCACATGAGATGTATTTGTATGTAACTTACTCTCGAGACTCATGCCTTGTGTTATATAACTTGAATGCAGCATCAAAGATGAAACTTGGACATCTTGTATGTAACAATTGTGCTGCTGAGATAGAAATTTCATCTGCTCAGGTTAGATTTAGCTTCAATTGATATAAGAAGATTGGAATGCTTGACTTTTCTTTTACATTGCCTCTGAATTGATGGCAATTGCAGGACAAATATATGAGGTTGGAATTTACAACCAAGTATGAAAAGAAGATAGAGGATCTGAAGAGACAGTTCCAGCTTAAGACAGATGAATGCCATGAGGCCTGGATGTCACTGACATCTGCAAACAAACAGTTACAGAATATCACCATGGAACTCGATAACAAGTTGTATGAAAGTCATTGCTTAGGTAAGGCAAGATCCAACTATGAAATAGTGTTTAATACTTTACTTTTGAGTATCATCAGGGAGCTATGGTCAATCTGATGGTTTTGCAACATTTATATATTGGATCACAGATAGTCTTATGATTATCATTTGTTCCTTTTCAGATCATGCTAGAGACGAAGCAGAAGCAAAATTGAGAGATATTTCTACTAGATATGAGTATGATAAGGGGTTGTGGTCCGCAGTTGCTGACAATTTAGAAAGTAAAGTCAAGGTAGGTACACTATTTTCATTAATTATTTCCAAATTCATGTAGTGACCCCTTGGTAGATTGAACTGAAAATGATTGACCCATTTGCAGTTAATGAAGGAAGACTATTCTCAACTATATTCTGAAGTGCACAAATTTATTGATGTAATTCCAGAATTCAACAATATGGTACTTGCAATTCAAACGATGGGTAAGTTTGTATCAGTGTTAAATAAGATTTATCTGAAACCATATATCTAATTAAACTATTGATATTTTAGTTGCACAGTCTGATGAACTTAAGCTTAAGTTCAATGAGGAGCAGGCAAAGAGGAAGATACTTTATAACCAAATGCAGGAGGCAAAAGGTACAATATTTTTCTTAGTATTGTGAATCAAATTGGTTGGTGCTCTTGCCTTGAACTGTACATTTCAGGGAACATTCGGGTGTTTTGTCGGTGTCGCCCGTTGCGGAAAGATGAGTTATTAGCTGGGCATGCAACAGTTGTAAAATTTGACGCAGCTAAGGATGGAGAACTTGGGATACTTACTAGTGGGTCCACTAAAAAGATGTTCAGATTTGACAGAGTTTACACACCAGAGGATGATCAAGGTAGTGTGCATACACCACAGTGAAAATTTTCTACCTTACTTAACCTGGTGTATTAGTTGATATTGGGGAACTGGTCAGTCAATGATTTTACACACGAAAATTTGTTGACTTAAGGTTTTGTCTTGTTACAGTTGATGTATTTGCAGATGCTTCACCAATGATAACCTCAGTGTTAGATGGTTATAATGTTTGCATATTTGCCTATGGGCAAACGGGGACTGGAAAAACTTTCACGATGGAAGGTTCTGAAACTAATCGAGGGGTCAATTACAGGACCTTGGAACAGTTGTTTAAAACCGCTGAGGAAAGGAAAGAAATTTTTACATATAGCATATCTGTTAGCGTCCTTGAAGTTTATAATGAGCAAATCAGAGACTTGCTAGCAGCCTCTCCGACATCAAAAAGGTAAGTTTTAGTCATACAATTTAGTGCAACTCAGAGATCTCACCTGAGCAATAGTTTGTTGTTAGCCATTAAATTTGGATTATTAGTGTAGTGTACATGCCGCTTGGCTTGTTTGTAACTCAGAGGTCTCACCTGAGCAACAGTTTTCTGTTACCCTGTAAATTCTTGGATTATTAGCATAGTGTAGATGCGGCTTGGTTTGTTCTTATAATATGCAGAGACAGTCGATTTGACAAGAAATTTTCTTTCATTATAGGTTGGAGATGAGGCAAGCTCCTGAAGGTGCTCATCACATACCTGGAATTGTTGAAGCCAAAGTTGAGAGCATTAAAGAGGTTTGGAATGTTCTGCAAGCTGGAAGCAGTGCAAGGGCAGTTGGATCAAACAATGTGAACGAGCATAGCAGCCGATCTCATTGGTAATTGACCTCAGTTTAATCTACATATATTGGTCTGACCTTTTGATCCATACAGAAAGAGGGTGTGCTTGTGTTGTCTTTTATAATATTGCTTCTTATATTTGTTGATGTTCTTCATTCCATCTTCTGTCAGCATACTCTGCATCATGGTAAAAGCTCAGAATTTGATCACTGGTGAGTCCACAATGAGCAAGCTTTGGCTTGTGGATTTGGCTGGCAGTGAGAGACTAGCAAAAACCGAAGTTCAAGGGGAACGCCTTAAGGAAGCTCAAAACATCAATAGATCTCTTTCAGCTCTGGGGGATGTCATCTCAGCTTTGGCAACAAAAAGAAGCCACATTCCATACAGGTTTGTTTCTATTTTTTCTTGTATTGACATTTGTCGCTCCCATTCTTTTATAATCTGATGTGTGTGTTGGTGTTTGCAGGAATTCCAAGCTCACGCATCTACTTCAAGACTCCTTGGGTAAGCATGAAAATGAATGTTGCTTGCAGCTTGAATGCTCCGTTATTATGCCAGGAAACGGAAGCATTTGTACATCACAACCTTATTATAACTTTAGAGTAGGAAGTGGGAAACAACTTTTATTCTGGTCTCACTTATGCGAGGATTGATATGTTAAAGACTTGGTGTGTCAACTGATAACTGATAAAAGAATTTTAAAACAAGCATCAAGTTGGAATTTCTTATTTATATAGAGATCAGTGTGTAATATCATATATTTCTTTTGGCATGTCGCAGGTGGTGATGCTAAAACTCTAATGTTTGTCCAAATAAGCCCGTCTGAGCAGGATGTAAGTGAGACTCTAAGTTCTCTTAACTTTGCAACACGGGTTCGAGGTGTTGAATTGGGTCCTGCAAGGAAGCAAATAGATACGGGTGAGATTCAAAAGCTAAAACTAACGGTAAGTTTTGGGAAGGCCAAAGATGGTGCTCTGCACAAGTTAGAAGAGAACTTTCAACTAAAGAAGCAACTAACAGATGGTGGATTTTACTAATTTCCACTTTTTTATTTTGTTTTGAAGCTTGACAAGCTAAAGCAAGAGTTGAAATCCAAAGATGATGATTTACATAAATTAGAAGAGAACTTGCAGAATCTAGAAGGTAAAGCAAAACGGGAGTTTCAACTGTCTAGAAGTCGACAAGAAAAGATTAATGAACTTGAAGACCAGATTGCTGTGCAGACTGATGTGTGCAGACGACTGGAAAATCAGTTGTTGGAACTTTCAGATGAAGCAAATGGAAAGAAAGAATCATGCTTGAATCTTCACAAAAAGGTTGCTTGGCAGATGATTTATGTTAATTTCCTGTTCTTTTGTTGTGCACAGTTTAATTATGTTGGCTAACATTTGCTTCTGTTTTACCCAAAGGTCAAAGAGCTTGAGGACAAGTTGAAAGAACGGGAACATGCAGATTCCATGGTTCTTCAAAACAAGGTATGTGAAGTGAAATCTACCTAAAACTATAATTTTGACGTAGCTGTTTTCTTTGACAACCACGAATATCATAGACTAAATAAGGCTTTTATGATCTGTGACTCTCATTTGATAGAGTGCTCTAGCTACACCACTTGCATATTGTGGGAAGGGAAGCTCTAATAACACTTCTAGTGTGATTGCAGCGCTCTGTCCTGTAATGTGGCTCCGTTATTCGGAGTGGTATGAGTTGTACTACTTATTAGTCATCTTCACACTTAGGAGAAGCAACTGTAGCTCTGTCTGAACTATTGGTTGTCATCAACTAAGAATTAGTTCCTGCGTCAGATGCTAAACGAGTAGGAATTTCATTAAAGAAAAATGCCGACTGATCTGTGTCTAACAGAAGTTTGGCTCTTGTAACTCTGTTGAGCTTTGACTTCTCGCTCATGCTACACAGGTCAGGGACCTCGAGAACAAGTTAAAAGAAAGAAAGCAAGAGTATGAGCACAATACGGCCGTAATTCAGCGGAAGGTAATTTTCAAAAATTCCAAGGGTAACCTTCAGTTTATTTTTCTCTAATGCAAATTATCAAAATTATCAAAAAATTATCAAAAATTATCAAGCCAACCTAAAATTAGGGTGCAATGTAGTTACCAAAAAATTATCACACGTCCCCTTTTTCTGTGTCAATTTCAAGCCAACCTAAAATTAGGGTGCAATGTAGTTATAAAATTTCACAGAGAAGTTTATCCAGCCAAATGGTCTTTCTCTTCTAGACTAATTACTTCTGTAGCTAAATGGATAAGTCCCACGTTTTTATTTACTGTTTTGCGGTTATCTTTTCGCGATTAGCAGTGATACAATATCGTATAGTCTCATAATGGGTAGGTACTTCGTAATGTAGATATGCAGTAGCAGTACACTAGGCTTTGATTTATTTATGTGTATATGCTGATGTGTACTAGTTGGAATGACGCGCAGATGCGACTGAGAAAATCAGAAAATGTCATATTTTGTTCATATCTCGGGGTTTCAATGCTGTAGTTCTGTTCGACCAAAAAATCAGAAAATGTCATATTTTGTTCACATCTGCAAATTGACCACATTTTTAATTTACTGCTTTTTTATTGTGGCAGGTTCAAGAACTTGAGAAAAGGCTGATAACGGAGGAAAACAACAAGGGAGCTCTGCAACTGAAGGTTCTTTATATGAGTTTCATTCTGCAATTAAAAGTGCTTGATAGATTGATATACCAGTGAGTAATGTTTTCCTCCTAAAATATTGCCAGGTTAAAGAGCTTGAAGAGAAATTGAGACAGAAAGAACAAGAACATGTGATATCGACACTTTGTGGCGACAAGTCAGGTGCCCCAACCCCCAATGACAGAAAATCCTGGCCGAGAAGAGAGACTATTGGCGACATAGACCCCTTGAGGCTAAGTAACTTGAGCGATAGTAACCAAATGACAAGCCAGGAGTCCGTCCTACTAAAGGGAACCGACTCCCTTCGCGAGTTGAGGAGACGAAGAGAGTTGCACAGCAAAGGTCATGAGAATGTGATGTTGCCAGCTACTTTGGCTGACAGGAAGATGTCATCAGCCGAATCCAGCACTGACAAGTCTGGAGACCAAAAACCACGGTCCAGGATCACAAGAAGTTTAACAAGACCGGCAGCCACTGGTCAAAAACCAGGCCCTTCGAACCCGGGCAACAAAAACTATAGAGATCAGGTTCCAGGTTCCAGGTCAAGGACTTGGTTACGATAAAGACAAGGCCTCCTTAAAAATGTTCCATGACCATATTCTGACATCCTCCAGATGTTTGAGATGTTACATATGAGCAGTAAAGGTTTGAGACTAGTAGAGAATGTAAATCCGTACGTTTGAGTTACAAAGATCAATGAATTGTTGCACTGTATCAATTGTCCAAGCAATCTTTGGAATGGAAGTTCGGTTTTTTCTCCGATGCTCATAACCCTTAACTTGAGATTTATAACTTTGCGTTCTTTCAATTAGTACAACGATATTCTTCTCTAAGAGGTCCACCTTTTGAAGTAGTCATGTGCATCTTCTCTATCTAGTTTTTGGGTCAACTACATAAAATCCCCCAAACGAATCCCTATTCACACGTTGGCACAGGTGTTAAGTGCGTAAGTGGCAAATTGAACAAAATATGTTATATACTTTTCACGTGGGATAATTAGATCCTAACATTCCACCACGCTTTTTTATCTGACATTCTCGTTGGCTCACGCCACTTACACGTTAGGATCTAATTCTCTCACATGAATAATGTGTGCGTTTATTACATATTTTGTTTCAATTAGTAATGTGTGCATGACACGCCCCGATCTCGATGTCCAAGGGACATTGGGATGGCCACGTGCTAGCCGACAACTGAGAGTAACGCAAGCCATTTAATGAATGCATATGCTGAGAACATGTAAATCATGCGTATAATTTTGTTCGAACTACATAAAATAATATACTAATATTCAACTACCAACAATGATAAGGATAGTGATAGTGCATGACATGTTCAGAGCATACATCTAATTCATAATACAATAGAAGGTGTTATTACAATGATGTCAAAGCAGAGATGAAGGCACAATATCACTAGTAGGGGAATGCCTCGTCGCTCGAATTATAAGCCTCGTTCTATATCCTGAGGGAGCGCAAAACAAACATGAGTGGACTAAGTTGATGTATATATATATATATATAATACTGAAACAAGTATTCAACAACAGTACTAACCCCCAAAGTTTTATGGAAACTTAAACCCTAGCATGCCATAAAACCTTCATAAAACATACATCATATATAGTGTGCTAAGTAGTGGTATCAAATAGCCCGTAGGCACTATATTTCTCGGCTCGAAGCCATCTACATATATCTCCCTCGCCCCGAAGCCAGGACAGTGACCACTAGATACGCACAAAATATTGAATATAATCTTTCCAGCATAAGTACATATATCTCAAAAACATCTTCATAGTATATAGTCATCCATCATATATACTATCAAGAAGTGTAAGTTCATAAATAGTATATAATCATCCATCATATATACTACAAAGAACAACAGTTCGATAAAGTATGGTATTCCAAAATATCCTCAGTAAACCATGATAACCATATAAAGTAAATCCAATAAAACATTACCATTAAATCATGCTTTTCATGTACGCATTTCTATTACTAAAACATGCATTTTAGAAGGGATCCACCAACAGATCCTCCGTCGTCAAAGAACCGTACGAAATAGGAAGAACGAAATCGCGGCCAATAATTGCACCTAAGCACATAAAGGGTCCAATTAACAAAACTATACTCAAATGATTGAATTTTGGAAAACGGACGCCATAAACGGATTCAGGACGTCAAAAAACATAAAGGGGGACCTCAGTACCCCCACACGCCGCCATTGGTCGCAGGAAAGTTGGTCGGAAAAATAGCCCGTGTCGTCGTTCAAGGGTCAACGGGCCAAGGGCCCGGGTTCTCAAGGCCCAAAGGTCTGGGGTCCAAGGGTTTTAGGTTTGGGTTCTATCAGGCCCTGGGCTTGAAAGCCCGGCCCAAGATAAATGGTTTTAGGGTTTAAATAAAAGGGGTTTGGGTTTAGGGTTAAACGGGCTGGAAGCCTGGATTGGTGTGACCCGAAGGCCTTAGTCCAAAAGGGTTTGGGTTTGTAAATCGGTTGGGCTTTGTAGCCCGGCCCAAAACTCTGGGCTAGGGGACTTGGGCCTCTAGGTTTGGGTCAACCAACCCGTTTCTCGCCAAGGAAGAAGGCCGGAGCCTTCCGAGCTCCGGTCAACGTCGATTGGCCACCCTACCTTTCGATCTAACTATCAAAACGAAGGTAGAGAGGAGAAGGAGAGATTAGTACCTGAGATTCATCGTGAAATGGCCGGAGGTGGCCGGATCTTTGCTCGAGACCCACGAGGCTCGCCGAAGTCTCTAAGCCCTACTCCAGTTCCCTTGGTGCTTCACAAAGGCGATGGGGAGAGAGAGAGAGAGAGAGAGAGAGAGAGAGAAAGAGAGAAAGAGTCCTCGCAAGGTTGGTGGTGGTGGTGTGATCGTCGCCGGTGGGTGTGAGTGTGCGAATGGGTGCGTGCGTGTGTAGATCGGGGAGAGTGAGAGAGTTTGTACGAGAGAGGGAGAAAGAGTGAGTGAGTGAGTGAGCTGAGAGAGAATGAAGGGGTGAGTTAGGGTGGTGCCACATGGCAAGCTGAGAGATGAGGAGAATCTTAAAAGAGGATCCGGATTGGGTAAGGATAGGGGACAAGATCATTATTTCATAAATTGTTAAAATAAAATGTAAAATTTACAATTTATTTGGGGGTGGGGTTTCACAGTGCGTTTGTTTATTTTTTTTTCAAATTTTTTTTATAAATTTTGAATTTTTTTTATTGGTCTAGAAATTCTTTGATTCTCTCAGATGGAGAAAAAAGTTTGAGTGAAAAAAAAAAAAAAAAAATTACAAATATTCTTTTCAAACAAGCACCCAATCTATTGAATTTGTCACATCCAGTAAGCCCTAATTAAATTTATTTAATAACTATGCTTATTTTGTCTCCAAAACTAATAAAATGTCATAGAAGCATGACTTCCACCAACTACCACAACCTCCCCCATCAGGCTATTACCTCCAAACCCAATGCACAATCACCAACTCCACCTTACAATTCAATTAACCAACACTGAGAAGAAGGTCATGGAGGTTGCTGAAATGGTATGGACTACCATGATGTAGGCACAAGCATCTTCACGACTCACTTGATATTCCCGATCTTCATTTTTTTTTTTTTTCATTTTATTTGTGAATTTGTTTATTTATTTCATCTTCATGTCTTTTTTTTGTAAGTTATTTTTATTATTATTTTAATGTCCAAGTAAGCTAAAAAGTGGGACCCCTTGTTGCCATTGTACATTTAACAAAAAATTAACTGAGGCTTAATCAATGTGATATTTTCAATAAGTTAGATATTTGTTTGGAATGTTTAAGAAGATCGAGACCAATTTGGAACGACTCTAAAAGGTTACATGTTTTAGGTACTGAATCCTTGATATAATGAATATATTTATACTACGGAGTGGAGAGAGTTATTTATGAGATTCGAACTTAGGACGTCACATACAAGTGAAGATGAATACCAATAGACCACTAAAATTGTTAGTACTAAGGACGTCACTTACAAGTGAAGATAAATACCGATAGACCACTAAACCATAGTACTAAGTGGCATATGCATTATAAAATCAACAATGATTCATTTCTTTCATGTATGAATTTAAAATTGGGTCTTTTAATATAGTTTACCCATGTTGATTATATTTAATGCGACCGTGGGGCGTTTACTTCTCTTTGGCGCACAGAAAAATTTACACCGCAACATCCCCAAAGGTTGAAAGGGAATTGTTTCTAGAGGTCGGAAGTTGGAGTGCCCCATGCCCATGATACCAGAAAATGAAAAAAAACGAAAACGTTACAAGGGCATTATGATGATACTGGAAAATGAAAAAACCGAAAAGGTTACAAGGGCGTTCATAACGACGGTGGTGTGGAGGAGAGGGAGAGAGATTCGGCTTCAAAGAAACAGTGATCAAACATTAAAATGACTTGTGAAAGCGAAATGGCAAAAAATAACTGCCAAAAGCACTTTTCATTGCGAAAAAGAAACGACTGTACAGTATATAATGTATCAAGAAAAACTCAAATCATCTCGTACGACCATTTACCACTTCCCCCTTCCATGAGATCTTTTAACAAGATTGATATTATCTACACGGTGATAACTTAAAGAACAAGGCTCTTTAACCAAATCCAAACCCTTCGTTGGCCTCGTGAATCGCAAGAAGCAATCTCTCCTCAAGATGTTGTTTAGAAGGATACTCCGGTAGATCCAACTGGTTGAAGCTGCACAAATAAGTAAATTTATTCAATAAGCTGTGCACTCGCAATTGGATAAACTTAATTTGGAGGCTAGAAGTTCGAGCGAAAAGTTTCAAATGGCATCTGATAACTCAAACAGATAACGGAGTAACATATTCAAGAAAAAATAACATGAGAGTCTAAGTTACCAAGTATGTGCAGATGGCAAGTGGTCTGCACTTCCATATGCCTTGTGTATCTGAAATTTCTGTGAGCCCGAGATCCCTTGAAGTGCACTAAAACCTTCTAAAGGCACCTGAACAATACGGAGCACCAATGCTCAGACCACATCTTATACAAGAAATATAGTAGATATCATAATACATCGCGAAATTATGTCAAATGTGAAAGGAAGTCATGTATAATAAATAAGAAAACAAGATATCACTAGCACGGGATACAGGAACAATTTAACTTGTACAAGACCCATGCATTCAAAAGCCTTTCCACATGTTCAGATTTTGCTATGCCATGAATATAACCGCTTGAACATCACCACCGCATTTTTTAATTCCAACGCCAGCTTCCAAAATAATTCTACGGTACGACTTAAACAAAAGGGGAAAAAAAAAGCATGAAGCAGTAATAAATTTATGAATGTTTTCTCTCAATTACATCCCAGTTCAAGAGTAAACGAAGAAAACAAGTGCAAACTAATACCTTAGAGGTGCCAGTTACAAACTGCAATAGACGGGCTTTATCCTCCTTGCTAAAACCTTGGGCAACCTCCCAAAACCACTGAATGACAGGAGATGCAGGGCTGTATCCAGAATATTCGGTATTTGCCCTCATGTCATCCACTGAAATACATGGAAAAATAAATCTTTATGAGAATGCATGTCCTGTTAAAGGTAGAGAAGAGGGGAAACAGAGTTGACATGGGAACTCACAATCAATATCTGGAAGCCCACTGATCAAAAGTTCCAGTTCCTTGTCGTTAAAAATAGATATTAATCCCTTTGCAATTAGTTCAGTGAATCCTTCCAAAAAAGCAGTTATCTGAGGACGAATGGCGGTTGTTAACCGATGCT